TTACATCAAAAATGATTCAACGAGACTTCAACCCTTTCTCAACACAACACACATAAACAATTAATCACATTGCCTTTTGTTATCCCCATTCTTTTCATCATTAGGATTAATCAATGTGGGCAAGTTAACCCATCACCAATCCCGTTACTTCCAAACATATAACACAAGGACATACACGCATTTCATACACTTAACAAGAGTTTAGAAATCCACTTGCCTCAATTTATCGAACAATCACTTCGGGACTTTAGCCTTCCTCCTTTGTTGCACTTCCAAATAAAATTCAGTCTATTTAAATAATTAAACACTATAAGGTTTCGAAGTTAACAACACACATATTGCACGTGTCTAGACTAAATAAAAAAAAACTCACACAAATTTATAATTAAGTTCTTAAGTTTCAAGATTAAGATTAAATTTTAATTTCTTTTCAATATCATAAATCTGAGGACATTCACTTAATACCATATACCTAATACTTGTCACACCCCTTTTTTTTCCCTCAAATTTTTTTTTGATTTTTATTTTTCGAAAGAAAAAGAGTTTTTCCAATTAAAGTGACGTTTTGAAAAGGGATAATTATTATTTAGAGTCGCCACTTGGAATTGAGTTTTGGTGTTCCAAGTCACCTTATTTAAATCTCTAATCAAAAGAAATTTGACTCTATTTTTATTGGTCTGCGAACTAAAAATCTGGGTAAGGAATTCTGTTAACCGAGGGGAAGGTATTAGGCGCCCCTCAAGTCTCCTAGTTCTAGCACGGTCGCTTTATTGACTTTTATATGACTAGACTTAATTTTTTTTATTGTATTATTTAACTTAATAATAAAAATATTTCTTTTTTTACTTTATTCTCTCATTTATTTTAAACCCTAAAAAAATCGTCTTATTTATTTTAAATCTATTGAAAATTATTTTATTATTTTTTGTGTGTGTCCATTAATTCAAAATTAGAAACATTCATATTTATTTATATATTTATTATTTATTATTTATTTATTTTGCTTTTACATTTTTTATATATATTTTTTATGTTATTATGGGGATAAATT